CCCTTCTTTTTCCCGTGTGTTGGGTTTTTTTTTTCCCTGTTGGTTTTCCCCAGCCCAGCTCCTCCCAGCACAGCAGCACCTTGACCCTCCCACCCCATTACCATTGCTGTGATCTAGTGACCCATTGAATCAAATTTATAACTGGAAAACATGGAAACATTGACTTAATTCATTTTTTTTAATGGAACGGGGGGGGGAGTAATTTTATTTTAAAATTTTCCTTTTTTTCCCTTTTTTTTTTCCTTCCCCCTGTCCTCAAATCCCTTCTGCTCTTCTCCCTTTTCTTCCTCCTGCTGCTTCCTTTCTGTGTTTCTTTCCCCTCCTGTGCCCTTTTGGGGGGGGAACACTTTTTTTTTGGGAGCCATTCAGGTCACTTTGTGGAGAAACTAAATTCAGTTAGAACTGGGGAGCAGGAGGCCCCTGATTTCCTGTGAGCACATTTCCAACCCAATCAGCAGTGAAGCTGAGGGAGGTCACAGGCTGGGAAGGTGGGTTTCTGGAGGTGTTTCTGCTGGGGCTTTCCCTTCTCCTGCAGCTTCAGGTCTGGTTCCATAAGGCAAAATAAGTGCCAGGGTTCACAGCCCATCCCACACTTCTAATGATCCTATAAGTTTCCCACCCCTGTTGACACATCCCATTCCAGCAGGTCACTTTTTGTCTTTTAAGGTGTAATTCTGACCTTTCTTGCCCCCTTGGCTGCCTCCCCAGTCACCACCATGATCTGCACCCCCTGGTGTCATCCTGCCCTGAGGAGCAGGACAGAAGGGGCTTTGTTGGGTCTGACCTTGGCCACAAATCCTGCTCCATGATCCCCCAGGTGGAGCCCAATTCAGTCTCTCAGTTTCTTGGACCATAAACCCCCCCAGGTGTCCTTGGAACGTGCAGATACCTCACTTCTCTTCAACAAACTCTTCTATATATCTTCTATAGATCAAAAAAACCCCCACACTCTGCTTCTACCACTAGGATGTGACAACAACACTACATTTCATTTCTAACAGGAGTAACTGGGAGTTACTCCCATGACTGGAGTAACTGGGATTCACTTGTGCACAGATGGAAAGGTCAGGAAGGCTGCTGGAAAGGTGACCTCCTGTTGAACCCACAGCCAGTTGTACCTGTGGATCCACCAATCAAATTGCCACCAACTTCTACAAATGTGGCAAGAATTAAGACAAAAACGTGTGTTGATCTTTAATACCTCCTTTCCAGCCACGACACCCTGCAGAGCCAAACAGGCTTGGTGGGATGTGGAGAATATGAAGCTGTGGAAGCCCCATCCCTGGAAGTGCTCAAGGGCAGGTTGGATGGAGCTTTGGAGCAACCTGCTCTGCTGGGAGGTGACAAGCACTGAAAAGACAAAAACCTTGGCTTCTTCTACTCAACATCACAAAACCTACAAGCACTAAGGTTCTTGTCATGACAAATCTTCCTTCAAACAAACAAGTCCCAACTAATTGCAGTCCCTCTTTAGAAGAACAACCTTCAGCTTGTGATTTATTTGTAATGATTTCCAAGTCGTTCAGAAGGAGGATTTCAAAGAAAAAAAAAAACAACCAACCTTCTACTAGATGGATTCATTTACATTCAACCTAAACATAAGTAAGTATTTTAAAGTTGCCCAGATTAAATCACTCCCTGTTACATGGAAGCAAAGCAAAGCAGGAATTTTTAAGATACAAAAGCAAGTTTTCAATCAAGTTAATGGCAGAATTAGGATCATTGCCTTCTGTAAATCACACAATTGTTTGATGCTAAGCTCAAATGACAGGAATCCCAGGAAAACTGAAGGTGTCAGGCAGTTCTGCCATTCCCAAGCCTGGGCAGGGCTTGAGGCTTCACAGCCCAAACCACTTTGCTCCCTGGTGCCCTCTCCCTGAGATCCTGCCCCAAGGAGCAAATGTCAGGGATCATTCAGCTCCTGGGCCTGCTGCAGGGGAAAGCAGGGATCATCTCAAGGAAGAGATTAGTAACAAGAGGCTTAAGGAGCTAGGAACCTCCCCCAGAATGCTTGGAAAATCCATCCCTAATGAG